CAGGGATGGAGCAGAGTGAAGAGGCCTTTACAGGGGCAGATGCCCAGGCAGCCATCACCAGCCAATGGCTCTGATGTTCTCAGCCAAGGGAGAAGGTTCCCGGGTCAGTGTATGTTCACAGTTCACAGTGGCGACTTCCCACTCTCCTTTGGGCCTTGTATGTGCAGAGAGGCTCAACTTTGGAGAGTATGCTTTGGGATTTTTGCAATGGCATCAAAGCAAAGCATGGCTGGGAATGGGACTTGGAGTTTGGGATCTGGTTCTTCCAGGGTAGTGTGTTAAGATACTCTCGCATGCAGCTGGCCGTGGCAGGGGGCTGCGGCTCTGTATCTGCTCTGAGGTCATGACTGGGCAGGGGTGTGCGGGTGTGGGAGGGGACAGCAAGATTCTGCTGCATGTTGTTCTTAGCCAGGATGGTTGGGAAGTGGGAAGGACCAGGTACTATTTTTTTTTTTAAAAAATATATGATATTTTTCAGTTGACAGTGGACATGGTGGGATGCAATGTGCCTCACAGAAGAGGATATGTATCCTAAAGAGAAACCTCGAGAAGGGTGGGGACATTTTCCAAGCCTTCTAGGACTTAGAGGTTCTTGCTAGAAGGATTCTAGTCCTTCCCAGCTAGTAAGAATTTAACTGGGGACGTAACCCTACAAAAGCCTGTGGTTACCCAAGATCCCTGCTGCTGCATGCAGGAGTCAGAGTGGGGGCTCGACTCCTTCCTAGTGAGAAAGAGGTTCTGGGACCAGGCAGGATCTGACCCCGTGTGCTCTGTGGATGCCATGTTTCAGGCAGAGCTCTAGTCTGAGAGGTCAGATGCCCGCTGGGGAAGCTGCTGCAGCCACCCTCTGGGAGGCTCCAAAGGGGCCTGAACCTAGCACAGTGTTGCTTTGGGCACAAGATTATCACATCCTAGAGAACTATATATGACTTGTTTTGTCCTTGGTGCAGAATTGTTACTTCTTGGTCACATTTCATCTCACACTGTGTTTGAGGCCTTACCGGTCTCATTCCCAGAGGAGGAAACGGAGGCTCAGAGAGGGTGTGCACCTTCAGCAAGCTATGAAGCTGTAGGTTCAGAATCAAGCCCAGGTCTCCCTGATACTCAACGATGGGCTGCTTTCCTCAGCCTTCTGGGAGGTGTGCCCTGCAGGGCTGGGGACCACATCGCCATTGCTAGCCAGCTCTGACTCCAGATGGATTTCTGAACCAGCTGGCATTACCCTCCTTGGATCCTCCTACCTGAAGGCAGAGAATAAACCCTTGCCTCTGACAGACATGATGTGGGAGTGATTTCTTATTAATAAAGAAACTGCCTTGGCCCATTTTATTGGATAGAAAATTAGGTAGGCGGAGTAGACAGAGGAGAATGCTGGGAAAAAGAAGCTGTGTGAGGAGTCGCCATGGTTCTCCCGCTCCAGACAGACGCAGGTTAAGATCCTCCCTGGTAAGCCAGCTCGTGGGCTACACAGAATATTAGAAATGGGTTAGAACAATATGTAAGAGCTAGCCATAAGGAACTGGAACTATCCGGGCCAGGCAGTGTTTGAAAGAATACAGTTTCCGTGTAATTATTTCTGGGTATAAGCTAGCCATGCGGGCGGCCGGGTGCCGGGGACGCAGCCCTGCCGCTCCTATTTCAACAGATGGCGCCCAGACGTGATGGGCTAAATCCACTTAAAAACCTGAGAAGGCTTAAAAATAAGGGAGAGAGAGTTTAACACAGATTTTTGCTGTTTTGTTGGTGGCGTGCTGTAGAGAGATTCCTGATTCAGCTACAACAGCAGAAAAATAAGCTACATCATTTTAAAGCGCGGCTTCCTGGGGGCTGTGCTGCCAGCATGAACTCTGGCTTTAAAGCATTTCAAGGCTTTTATGGGACTGGATGTTTGTGTTCCGCTTGGGATCGGAGGAGAGTGCTCTGAGACCGTGCAGATGGCTCAGAGCTCCCCGCCTGCACCTGGGCAGAAGGCAGAATCAGGCTTAGGCAGGCGGAAGAGCATGGCGGATTCCTGCCGCTATACAGAGACGCATTTTCAGACTGCGCAGTGCTCTGCATGTCAGATTTGGCTGTAACTTGGATGAAAAGAGTTTCTGTGCTGCACACTCAGTCTCAGAGTTAAACTGCTGAGTGCGGCTCCAATGTGGACTTGCTGTGTGCCTGAAACTGTGAATGGTTCAGGGGCACCAAATGACTCTGAGGCAGGAGCGGCTGCTCCATGCTGAACTGTGCTGATCTCAGGCAGGAACTACCGTAATTACCTTAAAACCGTGCAGTTAAGGTTTAGACTGGGCAGGACACAGGCAGTACCGTATTACCTGTAAATGGTGCAACTTAAGTTTTTAAGAAATGCTTAACATTTTAAGAAATGCTCCTGTATAGTAAAGAAATTACAGATTCACAATAAAACAGATTCAGACACTGTTGGATAAATGTACGTAGGCTTGGGAAAGAGAAGAAAAAGAATATAAAGAATAAAGTTAATGTCTTAAAAAGAAAAAGGGTAAAGTCTTTAAAGAGACAGAGTACAGAAGTACAGAGAGTTATAGATTAAAAGAAATAAAGAAATATAAGCCACGTAAAAATGGAAAATTCACAGAGAGTCTGGATTATGTACATTGTGTTTTCTTTAAAATTTTTGACTGTGAAGGAGCTAAGTACAGAGAGACATTTCATTACATGGGCTGCCAATCTAAACCAAAATGGATATAAGGGTATTATGATTTCAGAATTTGGGTCTAAGGATATGATGCTTTGGAGAGGGTCTTCTTTTGTTTTTGCAGAGGATGAGACCCTGTGGATTGCATCTATTCCGATTTGGTATGATAGACCACGCCCTCCTGAAAGGTTGCTGTGAATACCCTCAAAAAATTGCTTCGCTCAATTGCCAACTGAGATGAAACTAGCATACAGGTTATATCATGAACAACCTAATTAACGACGCCCCTATTCAGCAGGAAGCAGTTTGTAGAGAAAAAACTACGCCCATGTTCCCAAATATTGTTTATAAATGTTCTTTTACATTTAAAGGGGGATATGATATAGATATGAATAATTTGCATTGGTATGGATTTTATGGTCAATTTTGTTATATGTATATGTATTTTTGATCTTGATTAAGGTATTGTGATTGTGTAGTTCATTTAAAAATGTAATGTATAATTAGGAAATATAGGTTGTTAATGGATAATCATCGCTAATACTTAAGCTTGTAGTCATGTTAGTTAGATTTTCTAGATATATAGAGAGATATTTTAGTTAGATAGGCATTCTTCATATCTTTCAAAGGCTGCAGAATATGGCATTTAAGATATTTTAATAACTTAGGGTTTTTCATGACAATGAGACACATTTGCTCCTGGCAGCACCAATCTATTTCAAGAGGAAGATGGGCATCGAAGAGAATCCTTATGGAGTTTGATAGCCATTTGGGCAAGAAACTGCTCTTGCCTGGACTGTTGCATAAACTGGACACAGAGAACCCGCAGAGAGAGGACTGCTGAACTTGCCTAAAGGTGAGATGACCTTTTGGGGTTCCTGCTTCATGAAAGAGTCTGTGAGACATTCTGCAGGACACAGCAAAAAGTGACTGAACTGTCTTTGGAATTTCTTGCTTGATGAGAATGTCTGCTGGATACTATGGGCCTGTAGGCCGAAGATGGATGCCCCAACGGTACAGAGGAACTTTGGGTGACTGTCCAGGCAGCGAGATGTCTCTGTCATTTCTAGAGTTTTCTTATTTCTTGTTTGATAGGTAATATTATATCCTTCTGGAGTCTTTGATGGAGTTGAAGAATGGTTAGTTATAGTTTTCCTTAGTTATGATAAGAGATAAAATAGATATAAATATTGTAACTGTAATTCTTACTTGATAACTGTTTTGTTATATGTAATTTTACTATGTTAAAGTTAAAGCCTTTCTTTTTTGTTTAAACAGAAAAAGGGGAAATGATGTGGGAGTGATTTCTTATTAATAAAGAAACTGCCTTGGCCCATTTTATTGGATAGAAAATTAGGTAGGCGGAGTAGACAGAGGAGAATGCTGGGAAAAAGAAGCTGTGTGAGGAGTCGCCATGGTTCTCCCGCTCCAGACAGACGCAGGTTAAGATCCTCCCTGGTAAGCCAGCTCGTGGGCTACACAGAATATTAGAAATGGGTTAGAACAATATGTAAGAGCTAGCCATAAGGAACTGGAACTATCCGGGCCAGGCAGTGTTTGAAAGAATACAGTTTCCGTGTAATTATTTCTGGGCATAAGCTAGCCATGCGGGCGGCCGGGTGCCGGGGACGCAGCCCCGCCGCTCCTATTTCAACACAGACACCCTGAGCCCTGTTCTACAGGTCTCACCAATATCCTCTCCCCACTCCTTTTTCAATGAAGCAAAATCTTACTATGTAGATCAGGCTGGCCTCAAACTCATGTGAGTCCTCCTGCCTCAGCCATGCATCGTCACACCTGACTTGGTCCCTGTGTCTTCCAGGGCATCAGTCCTTCTGGAAGCTACTGTCGTCTTCCTTAAGGCCCCGACGGCAGCAGCACACTACCTCAACTCCTTGTCATTGATGTGGTACTCATTTGTTACACAACAAAGGGATCAATACCATTTCCATACCATAAATGCCAAACTGGAGCTGATCAGCTCCCTGATTCTGAGTGGTCAGACCCCAGGGAGTCCCTGCCACCAGGAAAAGGTCCAGTTATGTCTCCTAGGAGGGTATGCCAGGGCCAGACCCCAGGCTCAGCAAATACACTGGACTGGAAGGAGAGCTGCATTTTGGAAGCCTCTTTGCTTTGCCTGGGAGGCATCTCAGGGAGGCTGTGAGGTTGGGGTCTGCCCAGAGTGCACGCTGATCTTTCTATAGAAGGGACCAGCCCAGCAGCCGAGGAGAGGAGGAGCTGAGCAGGAAGCTGGAGTGAGACAGCTCAGTCAAGGTTCAGGAGGAGAGCGCCGGATCAAGAGGAGGAGGCAGAGAGAAAACAAAAAAAAAATGTCAATTACCGGGTAGCCATCTCGTCCTGATTGCCCCTGTGGTAATTAATAAGCCATTAATAATCAGAGTTTTGGCAGAAAACCATATGGCAATGCTTATAGCTCTTTCCGGCCATAACCCCCTGCTGTTCTCTGGTGGTTTGCAGAGTACTAACGCTGCCGACAATAGTGTGTTATTTCAGGGGGGCGATGCCAGGGCTCTGGTAGGTCAGATGGACATCAGAGGCCGTGGGGGAGGGGCTAGGGTCCTTTCTCAGAGCCATCAAGGCACGGTACCCCTATGTGTCACCTCCATGTCAGTCCCGGCACAGGGCAGAGCACATGTGGTCATTTAGGGCTGGAAGGATGTGTCACAACCACTATGACCAAACGAGGAACTGAAATGTCCCTTTCATGAGGGATTCAGTAGGTTCTCAGTTCATCCTCGCTCCTACTGGGTCAGGCTGAGCTAAGAAAGCTCTGGAAGATAGCGATGTGGGGAACAGGTATGGCTACTGATGGTTTCTCTGTCCCCTAGCTCAGGTCAGGTCTGTCCAAGGCCCCACACATGGACATCCGCCTCTCTCTGCAGTGGTAGCTAAAGAATTCCTGTTTGTTCAACCCGTTTAATATTTTAACAACGGAGCCAGAACCAAACCACGCCTTAGCCCCTGCGTTTTGCATTTCTACAAGTTTGCACAAGCTGCCTCCGAGGGGCCTCAGGGAGACGCCACCAGGAAGTGCACTTGTGGCCAAAAGCCTACACAGTTTTGTTGGCCTGCCTTTTCTTTGGCTTAAACTGATGCTGCACACACAGAGGAGCCCAGATTGTGAAGGGTGGTGATGCAGGGTGGGGATGGCACAAGTCAGAAGAAAAATGGCTCAGTTGAGAAGAATTCCGTCGGAAGGTTAATTTTGGCTCCGGCTGACTGTCAGTGTGCTGCTTGAATGGATGCATAGGGATTTATCTGGGCCTGAGAATCCGCCAAGAGGAATCAGAGGCAGACACATCCATAATGCGGAGAGTGGGATTCCAGGGCCATGGAGTCGCTGCCGTTAAAGCAGCCTCTGACCCAGGCAAACTCAGAGCTCCCCTTTACACCCCCTTTAAATGTAGTGACATTTTTACTTCCGGTGCTGCCTCAACCGCTCTGTCAGCCAGCCAGGCTCACGAAGTCCCAGCTAGGAGCAAGACATGCTGGCTAAGAAGAAAGATGGACTCTGTGACCTGGTGTTTGAGCCCAACTTGTCTTGGAACCACAATATCAGCAGCCACTTAACACTTCAGAGATAGGAGCCGGCATTTGACATTTTAAGTGGAACTGGAGATTTGGGGGAGGAGTTGCTAGGTTCATATGAAAAGAGGCTGGTTTAGAATGTTCTAGTGGGTAAGGCAAGGTCAGGGAATTCTTCTGCTATTTAAGAACTAATTCAGCCTCTGTCTGGGATGGAACCTTTTATGTTTGTTTATTTCTGAGACAGGTTCTCATGTAGCCCAAGCTAGCCTCAACCTCCCTATGTAGCCAAGGATAGTGATCTTCCTGCCTTCACTTTCCAAATGCTGGGATTGTAGGTGTGTATTACCACACAGGACTTTTTTCTTTTTTTCCTTTAAAGACAGCGTTTCTCTTTGTAACATCCCTGACTTTCCTGGAACTCACTTTGTAGACGAGGCTGGCCTCGAACTCACAGAGATCTGCCTGCCTCCGCCTCCCAAGTGCTGGGATTAAAGGCGTGCGCCACCACCGCCTGGCACCACACAGTGTTTTATGTGGCACTGGGGATCAAACACAGGGCTTGCACATGCCAGGCAAGCAGTCTGCCAACTGAATTTTAGCCCTGGCCTTTTTCTTTGTTTTTAAGCCACATGCCTCCCCCACTAAAAGCTGATTCCATGGGAGTTAATTTCATAAAGAGAACCAAATAAATGTCTTATCTTTCCGGAGAACAGCACCAAGTCCGCGACACTTACGGGAGGACCTGCAAGACACAAGCAGAAGAGCTGCTGTCAGCATTGCTCTGGCCACGCCCTCCCTCTTCAGCTCAAGGTTTCAACGGGGGTCACAATATTGCCCACAATGGCCCTGCCGACAAGGGTCAGCCACAGAACCAAGAAGAGATACTTTCATCCTCGGAGGGGTCTGGGTGGCCGTGTGGGGGGCAATGATGATTCCCACATGCATGGGTTCGTGTGTTCATTGCAGGAGGCTGGTTGGAGCTCATTTGCACTACACTCTGCAAAGCTAAATATGAATTAGATCTGATTTGTCCAATGAGCAGGTGTTTGGGTTTTACCAGGGAAGACAGAGATAAAGAGGAAAAACATTTTGGGTAGAGAGGGAAGGATGGGCATGAAGGCATGTGATATTTATGGTCATGTAGAGGTGAGGTGGATCACTATAGCCCAGCTCTGGGGTTAGATGTACACGAGGAGATTGAAGGAATAGTCTAGAAATTATGATGGTGGCTACAATGAGGCTTGCCCACAGAAGATAATTGGTGCTGACTCTGGTCTCTGAATATACGCTCATACACACACACACACAGACAGACAGACAGACATACACACACACAGACACGGACGCACAGACATGGACGCACACGCGCACACAATCCTTGAACAAAATTGTTTCTGCATTGAATAGGCCGTTGCCATTATTTAATGACATTATAAGTAGAACAGCAATTTGCATCTCATGTGCACTGTATCAGGCACTGAGAGATGATTTAATGTATCTGTGAGGATGTGTGTGTAGGTTATATCCAAATAGAAAGTCATTTTACATGGGGACCTCAGCATTGGTGGGTCCCATGGATGTGAAGGCTAGAGTCAGTTAAGGGGCAGGGCATCCTAGGAGATGGTCTCTCAGCTCTCCAAATCAATGTACCTCCCACAAATGCATGCTTCCACCAAACCAGGAACTCCTCCGTTCCCGTCACACCTCAGGCCCTACCCAGTAGGAGGAGGCAGCCCTTGACAGTCACAGGAATAAGGAGTAGGTCTGCATGGCCAACGGGGAGCTGGGAGCCTTGTGGGTCAGGAAGGGGACCCAGCAGTGAGGACAAATGAACAGGCCTGCCTATAAGAGTGTTCCTTCATAGACACTTAGAAAACAGAATAGCAAACAAATGAACCAAAGGTAGGGGGCCTATGCTGGCTTGGCCTGCTCGGGAAGGGGGTTCCACTAGGTCTGGTGGGAGACAAAATGAATCAGAGAGCAAGGCAGGGGCAGGATGGGGAGAAGCAGAGATGGAAAAGTTTGGAATATGCTTCCAAATCCCTGACTCTTCCTGAGATGGAAATGGAGCAGGGGAGGGAAGGCCGGCCAAGCACAAGGCCTGTTTCCATGTGATGGAGAGAGGAGGGCTTGATGCTATGGGCAGTGTAGGGGCCACTGAAGATTCGACACGATGAAGGCTGCAAGAAAGGCCGGAGCAGACACTGGGGTGCACTGCTGCTACCCTCGGCAGGTCCCAGCAGTGGCATCAGGCAGAGGGGAGAGTCTGGAGAGGCTTGGCACAGAGGAGGGACAGGACTTTCTGGGTGACAGACGGTTCGTGAAGGTAGGAGTTTTGGTCAAGAGTTTTCACTAGATGCGTTAATCTTCTCACCACTGATAAAAGAAGCTGCGTTTTCCCTGTCTAGCCTGGGCCCGAGCAGAGCATCAACGCACAGATGTGATTGGCCTTGCTTCCTGTATTCCAGAGAAGAAAAAAAAAAACCCACAGAAAAACTCACTAACCACCGTCTTGAGACTAGATGAACACGCCTGTCTATTCCTGTCTGTGTGCCTGCCCCTGGGCCCATCTTTCTGTTCATGCCCCTCAGGTTACTAGAGGAACTGACCCACTCCAATTAAGGCCAGCTTTCCTGTTTGCCTTTCCTGGAGTGATTGACATCTGACAGGTTCCTTGACGCCCAGCCAGCTCAGGGCCCGCAGGTACACACACTAATAAACAGGCACTAAAGAGACAAGAGCAAGAGCGGCAGGGGCTGCCTGTTGGGCCATCACCTCTGTTAAACCCTTTGCACTTTGTTATAGAGTTTACTGGCTTGGTACAGCCGCTGGAGGCAGATTCTCTGGTCTGTAGCCAGTGGGTAACCCAAGAGAGGTGGCTTGGGAGGCCACATGGCTTAGGTCATCCAGGGGTCTTTGCTTAGAAAGTGAGGCTGGTTCAGGTCCCCCAGTGGACCACATGGTACCCCATACCCCGAACCTGGCTCCTCAATGCGTTTTGCTCTCTGACCCTGGGGTACAGCTTTCAAACACATGTTCTAATCCCCGGAATGTGGGAGCAATTAAGTCAGAGCCAGATGACTTGGCCTGAGGAAGTAGGGGGTTTGGTGAGTCCCAGGACTGTCTACAGAGTGCCTGTGGCCTGCTAGGGCTTCCCATTCAGGGAGCCATGTTCACCCACACCTTGGGAGGTAGGGGGGACTGACTGCTTGGGTGAGTGAGCTGCTTTGTTTGGTGCTGACAGTTGGGCGGTGGGTTTGGGAGCCCACCCTACCCATACGGAGCTTTTGGCTTCCCCAAGGTCAGTCATTTCACTAAGGTCTCCCAAAGGTAAGTTTGATCTTCCCGCGGAGTGTGTCTGCTGGCTTGGCAGGGTCCACACAGTGGAGGTGGTGGCTGTCCTTGTGGTTTGAGGGTGCTTGAGTCACTGTCCTTGTTACCAGCTCCACAACTGTCACTTTGTCTTAGACACTGCTCCTCACCTGCCTGTTACCTGCTCTTCTAGGTAGAACAGGCCTTCTGCCTTGCTCACGTATTAGCTAGGTCCAGTGTGGTGCCGCGGCCAGGATCTACACCCCTAGAAACCAAATCCTTCCTTGCATGAGCTCAAGACCTTCTGCCATGCTTCTCAGGACTCTCTAGGGAAGAGTGACCCAAGGGTTTTAAACAGAGTTTTATGTAGATGGAATAAGGCTGAGGCAAACTCAGAGGCTGTGTGAGCCGATGGGGTCAGGGGTGGGGAAGTGAGATAGGAGTTAGTGTCTGTGAATGTGGCGAGTACCCAGGTCTGCCTTTCTGGATGTTGAGGAGGAC